CCGGACGTCTGGACAGGAGCATTCCTCTATATATATATATATATATATATATATATATATATATCTTTAGGATCTATTTGAATTGGATGGAGGGTTTTGAATGGATTTGAAAATGAAGGCTTTAGAATGTCTCTACCTTGATAAATCAAGTGTATTAAGTCATCCAACACCGTTCAAGTATAAAGAAACAAACCAGTATATAGGGCTTTGACTCTTCTACCATTAAGCCCCAAGTCTAGAAAGCTCCAACTCGCAATTACCCAACTAAGACATAAAATCATTAAAATGAGCACACGGACTCTAAAAGTGATTATCTCCAACAAGCCACCAATATAAATAGAATTTTTCTAAAAATGAATATGAGATGGTAGGAATTCTCAAGGATTACATGTTAGGTTAATCTGAATTTTTATTAGTCTAAAAGTATATCAAAATATAGATATACTCTACTACACCCCCCGACGCCGACGGTTTAATTTGTTTTTATTAGAGCATACTTATCACGATGGATTTTCGGTCATAACTTTTTGATTGTATACTTCTAGCTTCGGTTTCGGTCAAAATAGACGTTGAAGAAAATAATTCTTCAAACAATCATTTATAAACATCAGTTATATTATTATGAAACATGCGACGTAATATCCCCTCTTTGTACTATTGAAACCATCCAAATCCCTTCATCCAAGCAGATTGCTAGTGACTAGAAAGTACATACAGTCTTTCCAAATTGAAAAGTTTCCCGAGCTCTCGAGGAACATTTCCACTAAACATGTTGTTCTCCAAGCCTCTGAAAGTAACCATCAAAAATAACCATCAAAGTTTCAAAATCATAGACATGAGGTTCTTGGAAGATCAATGATCTAATATACGCGTTAATGAGGAATAAATAAGTGTAAGGCGAGATACATTCGTTGGAGTGTGCTCATATTTCCTAAATACTTCGGAATCGGTCCAGACAATCGATTGACAGAAACACCCCTGCATAGTAAAGTTGTAAAGAATAAGATTGGGTCTAACTCAAACCAAAGCAGCAGATCACACTCTTTAATTTAACAGACACCACTAGAAAATTCAAATAATGACAAATGCATGACTAAAACAAAAATGAATTTTATACTCAATTACTTATTTTCTCATCTACTATGAGTCATCTGGAAACAGTCTCTCTGTGCTTTAGTACATGGGTAAGAAAACTGCGTACATCCGACCCTCCCTTACCCCACCGAAGGTGTGGGAGCCTTTGCGGCCTTGGGGTAATGATGATGACGTATTTTCTCATATACCAACTTACCATAGTGGTATGCAGTCACAGCTTTTACTCATTATTTCATAGGTAAATAATGGAGGTGAAATGTGAAACTCACATGTGTTGCAGTCCTAGAGACACCCATTCCTGGGGGATTGTTCCATTTAAATAGTTCCGAGTAAGGTCACTGCACCAGTGAAAATGAAATTTTATTGATGGAGAAACTCAACCCTTAACCTGACTTTAGCAAAGATTGATGAACAGAACCCCAACTACATAAGGAAAACTTCAGTACATGAGCTTGAGAAACTGCAACTTGTACAAGGAAGGGGGGAGGACACCCGCTAAATCCTGTCCCTTCAGAGTTCTGCTTGCATAAAAAAGAGAATGAAATCATGAAAAATGAATGAATAAAATAAATATGATGAACAAAGTTGCAAAACTTTGTAGTACACTTTCAATGCACTTTTACATAATCATATTTTGACATTGGCCATGACATAGTGCAATGATCTTTTAGTCATATTTTCATTCATACCTTTTCTTTATGGCCCTTTTCCATTGATATTACTATCTTCTTCCCGCTATGATTGTCTCATTTTATCTTATCGGTCCGTCCCACTAAAATTGTCACATACCAAATTTGGTAAAGTTTGTGTGGCTCTAAATCATTCTTACTTTATTCTTACTTTATCAATTCAATATCAACCACATAAACCACTTTTTATTAATTTGCGTGTCACTCTCTCTTGTCTCATTGTTAGCGGGACGGAGGGAGTACTAAATTTAATGTAAAAGACAAAAATACGACTTATTTTAGATTGTCCAAAAATGACATATTCAATGTCTAGTTCCAGGTGACTCATCATCTTTCAATGACTTGTCACACTACAATTACTCTTGTCCAGTTACTCATACATAGTGACTCATATTTTTGTCCAAAAACGTAACTATTCATATTTTTGTAGGGAGAAACTCTGTTAGTAATTTTTCCTTTATTTAATGTCCCTTCTTTCCACATAACTTTATCAATTTTCCTTATTTAGTCATCCCACAAAATTACGGATTATGTCATTTCAAAAAGTAATAAGGATGTGGTTAGATTTCTCTACATAAATTTCAACCAGAAAAATAAGAATTCTAAACATAATAAGTGGCAAAAGTAATGCTAAGAATGGGAGAATGAACAAACATGTTTTCCACGTGGCAGAAGCCATCATTATATGAACAATTGCAGATGACAGAATTTTGATAGATAGAATTAGAGTCCAGGGAAGTGTTCCAGCTTGGGTCGGAGTCACATGGATTCAGGCTAAAGTTCCATCCTTTTTTCCCCAACTGATCAGCTATTTCAACAAGAGCACTCACTGAAATTTCCAATTTCAACTTAATTACTCAGCACGAACAAACACAATTTAAGACTGTTTGGATTGAAGAGTTTGGAAGGTATGGTTTGGAAGTCTTCAAAACGAATATTGATAGTTAAAATTTGGAGTTATTTTACCCGTTAAATCTTTAATCCTTCAATATTTATAAAACCTCAAACATATAAACATCCAAAAATCAATTCCCAGACTAAAATAAAGAATGCATGTTTATGTTTTTTAACAATTATGGGCACATTAAATTTGCACAAAGAAAGCAGAAAACTTCCTAAACAATAAATGTTCAACAAAAAATTTTAACTCCCAGGTTTTTTAAAAAATAAAGCGCCAATAAGTAATAAGAAGAAAAGCTTTACATTCAGTCGGGTGGATTGGAAGAGATGGAGTTTGAGCTCCAGTGGGTGTATCCATGAAGCAGAGAAGCAGCAAAAAAGGTAAGGTAATCCAACTGAGAAAAGATTTCATCATCTTGAAGAGCTCTGTGTATGTATGTGTACTCACGGGTAGGAACAATGGACAAGAAATTCACTCATGAAGACTGAAGAGTGAAGAGCATACATCCATACATCATCTTGAAGAGCTCTGTGTATGTATGTATACCTTTCTAAAATATGGGATACAGTACCTACCATTCATTTGATTGTACCACAACACTTAATCATTTTTAATTTAGATTTAAATAATTCAACTGTTACATTCTCATTGGTCCATGTGGACAAAGGTATGGTACCTTATGGGTACCATAGAATCTACCATATTCATATACGTATACTGGTACCTATATATCTCACTCACAAAGGGGTGACACAATTATCAAGCAATTTGAGTTTTATCAAATAAGAATAAAGTTAGGAAGCGGTCCAGCTCAATTGGTCGCTGACTCACTCTCTCATACGGGAATTTTATCGACTTTTATCGAATTTGATACGGAGTATGAGAGAATTTTAATGGGACGGATCAAATGAAAGATGAGACAATCTTAACGGGACAAAAGGAGCTGAGCATATCAAAATAATCACCCATTTGTCTTTCCATGTAGTTTAAAATAAAATTAAAAATTGGTACTATGACTATATTGAAGCAATATTGTTGTTTTATTGTAACTGCTTTTAAGGGAGATTTCTTCCAAAACAATTAATTTGATGTACAAAAAAATATTTGTATCCACTCTTATACCCACTTGTATATCCATCATATCTGAGAAAGACATTTTGTCTATGAAGCTCATTGACTGACAAAATGTCTTATTTTGTCTGTGCCAATTTTGCACAAACAAAATAATTAATGCATATTTTGTCTGTAAATGAGATTCACAGACAAAAAAAACTTTCACTAAGGGTGGGTACAACAAGAATGGTTGTTTGATATAAACCCAAAAGTCGAACTGAAAGAGTTATTTTAATAAAAATGTTGACATAATGACATTATGTAAGAAAAACAAATTTTATAGTACACAGATTTAATGAAGGTGCACATATATACATAACACCGATTTGATAAAGATGGAATTCGTCTGAATAAGAATAAAAATGGTTTAGAATTTCATGAGCGTTATATTTTATTCACTAAATATGAGTTGCTAGTGTCATGCTTAGGAAATATTACCAACTATAACAAAATACTGTCATATTTAAACTTTGATAATGTCAAAATATAATGGTAAATTTCATGATGTGAGTAACATACTCTTATACCGAGTATTAAGAAAATGTGGCGTGCTTCTAATATTGTTCTCTCTATCCTCCAAAGATTGTCTTATTTTACCTTTTCAAAAAATTTCACTAAGATTGTCTCATACCAAATTTGGTAAAGTTTTTGTGGTTCTAAATCGTTCTTACATTGTTCTTGCTCTATCAATTCAATATCAATCACATAGATGATAGATCATTTTTTTTCTAATAACTGTGTCACCTACTCACCTCCTCGTGTTTCAATGTAAGACGGAGGGGTATTAAATGGGAATTGGAGTATTAAAAAGTTACTGATTGGATTGAAGAGTTTGGAAGGTATGGTTTGGAAGTCTTAAACACAAATATTTGGTAGTTAAAATTTGGAGTTATTTTACCCATTAAATCTTTAATCCTCCGATATTTATAAAACCTCAAACATATACACTTCCAAAAATCAATTCCCATTAAAGGGTGTATTAAAAAGTTCAAAGCTGCAAAAATACGTTGTTTTGTTCTATACATATTTGCCTCAATCAAAACTGTTGCATGGCTCAAGGTGAATAAAATTTTCGTTTCTCTTTGTCTTTTGCACAAGCATATGACTCTTTTATTTTGATTTGTTACTCTACCATTTAGTTTTGTTCCAATTGAATTATGTTTGTTAGCTTAGCGTCCAAATCGTACACAATGCCATCGAATCGGTGTTTGTATATCCACTAGTCATAAATATCTCGATCAAGCAGACAAGCACTGAACGATCACCCACTAGTCATAAATATCTCGATCAAACAGACAAGCACTGAACGATCATTCTTTTATAACTTTTGAATTTCTAATTTGGAAAAGTCGCTATGTACGCTCCCGGTTACACAACCGGTTACACAGCGTAAAAAGCCCCACCCCCGCTTTGGTAACCGTATTAACCCCCACCTCTCTCCCCCTTTTTTTTTCTTCGTTCGTCTCTCTCTCCCCTGCGCAAAAGAATTGTCTGTGTCATTCGTTTCTTTCGTTTGTTATCCTTTCTGTCAGGGACAGTCCGGCGGCGAGGAGAAGCGCTGATCGAGATTCTGAGGCGGAGATGGAACCGAGTAAGACGTATGGCGGCGACGAGGCGGAGATCGAACCGAGTAAGCCGTATGGCGGAGACGAGGCGGAGATGGAACCAAGTAAGACGTATGGCGGCGGCGACGAACTTGGCCTGGGCTGGAGATGGGAGGATATATTCGGTCCAAGTCCCGGCAACACGCCAACGGCCATGGAAGGCTTTGAAAATGCGACGGAACCCATCATGAAAGGCCATGAAGACACGACGGCGGGTGCAACGGAAGGAGTTCAACACACTCCGGTAGGCGATGAAGGGACGGCGGATGTGAAAGCTGATCAAGGTTGGTGTTTTTTTTCGTCTTTTCTTCATGGATGTTATGTGGTTTGGTATTGAAGCTTCAAAAACAACGTTTTTTTATCTGCAGACAAATTAGTATTGTCTGTTTATACTATATATAGAAGTAAATTGTCTGGTGGAGACATTTGTTGTGTATTCGTACAGACATTTATTGATCAATATGTATGTTTGTGAGTGGTCACACCCTATGGGAAGACATTATGAAGATAATAGACTGGGTTTTAAATGTCATTATAATACTATTTTTGTTTGTCTGTATTTCTATTAATAATGTCTGTCATTATTAATAATTTTAAACTTATAATGTGTGTATTTATACGTTTTAGTGGTTTGATCATTGTTTGTAGTTTATAAACCAGTTCTACCCTAGTGTGTTAAACTTATAATGTCTGTATACAAATAAGTTGTCTCACTGTCCATAATGTGTCCCTCTACATAATATTGTCTGTACTTAAATAATATTGTCTGTATATACATATTTATAAATAACAGATGAAGAAGGCCATAATAACGAGGAAGAAGATGCTAATGAGGTTGTTCCGGAAGTGGGCATGAAGTTTGAAAGCACTGAGGCGGTTTATGAGTTTTACAAAACATATGGTAGAAGGATAGGATTTCCAGTTAGAAAAAGAACATCAACGAAGGATAGAACCAAAAGCGACATAGTGTCGATACAATTAGAGTGTTCACGTGCGGGTAGTAGACCTAGCAAGACACTAAACTGTTTGAAGCCTCAAGCTTCAATGCAAACATCTTGTAAGGCAAGAATTAGAGCACACACTACTTATGATGGTTCATGGGAAATTTCAAAAGTGTTTTTAGAACATAATCATCCCATGAGTCCCACAAAATCTAGACTATTTCGTTGCTATAGGAAATTGACATCAAATGCGACGAGACAACTTGCTATTAATGATGTTGCGGGAATTCCACTAAACAAGAGCTTTAACTCCGTTGTTGTTGAAGCGGGGGGTACGATGGCCTACCTTTTATTGAAAAGGATTGTAGGGACTACATAGAAAAAATTAGGGAACTTAGGCTAGGAACTGGTGATGCCATGGCCATACAAGGTTTTTTTTCAAAAATGCAAGCACAATGTCCCGGTTTCTTCAAAAAATTAGGGAACGGAGGGAGTACTTTTCAAATATGCATTGTTATTCCATTTTACAAATGAGCATAACATGAATACCCGTTGAGCATAATAACTTATAAAATGAGAATTGATATGCAAATCATAAGTACTTTTAATTGAACATCAAGACATTTTCATTGAGCATCAACTTGAAATTATAAGCACCAGTGATTTTCATTATGTGATTGTGATGAGCATCGAGTCTGTTCTTTTGAGTATTAGTGGTCTAACAATGAGCACCAGTAATTTCTGCTTCATATCTTCTAATTCAATTTCTTTTTATTATTTTTTCGTTTGTTATTTCAACATCTGAATCCAATGTAGTATGATGCATTTGAAATGTGAAAATTTTTTAAATGACCATAAAACAATAACAAATGAGCATATGTAACTTACAAAATGAGTATCCAAAAATTCAAAAGCTCAGTTGTGTATGCTCATTCATTTTGACGTTATACTCATTTCATAAAACTCATTTTCAATGTGTTCAATATTAATTTGTTGAGTTCATTTCTTTTAGGCGTATACTCATATGAGTTTAATATGAAAGTCATTTTTCGATGTGTTCAATATTATTTTGTGTGAGTTCATTTCTTTTTGGCATATACTCATTTGAGTTTAAAATTAAACTCATCTTTATAATATTACTAAGAACATAATAGATTTTTAATAAAATAGGGTTGTGAAAATCGGAATCTCAGCCTCTCAGGTAAAGTCGCCTCTTCATCGGCCAAGCATCTTAGTTGTCTCTGCTTCTATCTATCGGTATCTACGAGTCTGAAGTTGGGACACTTGGAAGCTTGGCTATCGGTGTTCTGTGTTCGCGAGTTGCAGCCGACTAGCTTTCAATCCGCCGTTCTTCGTCGTCTTCATCGCTGAGTTGTCAGGCTGAATCGCATATTCAATTACAAAAAAAATCCGGCTGTATGGTGAACATCGTACAGCCGGCGGTACGGTGTAATTTACCATATAATGGAGTGGGGAAAATATTAAATTTATGAAAAATTGAAAATAATAATCCCAACTATTGCTAGTCTGCTGAAAGTAATCCCAACTATTGATTATTTTTGTATAATCCCAACTATATAGACTATCCGCCAATAATGGTCCATGACTATATATTACCTCTATAAAAAGTGAATTTTAAATAGAAATTAAACGTAAAAATTAAAAGTTGAGATTATTTATAGAGATTACTTGTTATATCTCATCTCATCCACTTTAGAAACTAACTACAAGAATTTATTTATAGGGACCATTATTGACGGCAGGTCCCTAAAGTTGGGATTATTCTGTAATAATCAATAGTTGGGATTATTATGAGCGGACCGCCAATAGTTGGGATTATTCCTTGAATTTATTGAATTACGGTATATTCTGTATACTATATCGAAAAATATTGAATTTATCGAAAATTTTGATATACTGATATTTTTTAGTTCTTTTTACAAGAATATTACTAAAATAAAACTTATTTACATAAATATAACTATTCAGTACTACAACGTAGTGTTATGGTAACTTAAGTTCAAAACTTAAACATGAATTACTATGATTTCATTACTACTGTAGTAACTAGTCATATTTTTGTAAACCATCTTTATTTTGGTCATATTTATGTAATTATTTCTATTTTTGGTACGTCATTGTACTGTACCTAATTACTTCGATAAGTATCGATATATATTTTGAAAATAATTGATATACCGATATAGCGCCATACCAAAGTCCAAGCTAATAATCTCTTTAAAATTATAAAAATCACTAGAAACACATACTTAAGTGTAAGTGACATTTTATCCATGTTGTTTGAATTAATTGTACCTTTTTATTTGAGAGTGCTTTTATATTATTTGTATCTTTGTTGATTAATTCAAGGACTGGTGATAGAAATGAAAATATTCATCTCATGAATTTCCTGAGAGTTTCTAATGATATAATATAACCCTTTTCTATTCAAAAAGAAGTTACAATAGGAGAATTTGTTTTTCATATTGCATATGTTGAAATGTTGAAACATATTTATAATAATTCTTATTCAAAATTGAATGGGAAATAATTTATTATTAGTATTTTGTATTAAAGTTCAATTATAACATAATATTTTAATGATGCCGTAAGCCCGTAATATAAAATTTTAGGTAATATCAAAATGGGGTTTTCTCCTTATTATTACTAAAATAAGGCTAATTTTTCAAAAAGTGACCACTTTTATATTTAGACAAAAATGTGACTAATGCACAGTGACATATCCATAGTGATATTGTGTCGGCCACAGTGACACATTTGCAGTGACATCTCCGCCGTTTCCGGCCATAGTGACATCGTTCTCATTCACAGTGACACCACCTCCAGCCACAGTGACACACCCATAGTGACACCACCGACAGTCATAGTGACACCGCCGCCGGTCGGCACCGCCCAAAGACCACCACCGCATTGGTTCTACCAGTTATCACCACCTACCCCTCCCAAACCCCCACCAACCCCAACCCGAGTCAGCCCCCGCCCCAACCCAAGCTCAGACCGTCCCCTCCCCTGCTCAACAGAGTTGTGACAACCGGCCACCTCCCCAGCCCCCGGCCGCTAGTGACTAAACCTTCCACCATGTCCCCGCTAACCCTAGCCACCACCCCCATTCCAAATCCAGATCTGAAAATCACCCCTACGACCCTCACAACGGAAAGAAATTGAAGAAGGAGAAGCATGTTTGCGTGGGAATGAAGATGGAAACGGAAGGAGAAGATCGACGGCTAAGCGACGAACGGCAAAGGAGACGCGAACCAGAAGGCCGACGATGATGCCAAACGCGCTCGATGGCGACGGGCGACTGCCTCGAAAGCGATGGGCGGTGGGGACAGTCGCAGAGGAAGGAGAAGGAGATGGACGCTGCTCTGGCTCTGTGCGTGGATGTCTTGCTCCGCCCAGGCGTCCTTACGCAGCGAAGGAGAAGAAGATGCGGAAGTTTCAGCGAAGGATATGCGGAACCGGAAGATCGATGGTCACTTTTTTGTGGAAAAATATTTCGGTCATGTTTTTTCCAATAAAACCTATGAGGTAATAATTATGCCATTGTTTCTATCAAAATTTCAATAAGATAACAACAGTATGTTTTTTGTATATGAAAAAATTTGGGTACCGCAAAGGTATGAAATAATTAAAGGGATTTCAACCATTCCAAACCTTTTCAAATGGATTCTACAGTTTTGGAAAATGGATTTTTAAAGTTCAAGTTCAGGGAGAACTGTTAATAAATGAAATAATTACATAAATATGACCAAAATAAAGATGATTTACAAAAATATGACTAGTTACTAGAGTATTAATAAAATTATAATAATTCATGTTCAAATTTTGAACCTGAATTACCACAAAAACCCCTTTTTTCACTTTTGTCGTTTTATTCAAACGTATTTCCGTCGGTTTCTTGTTTCCCACTTTCAACTTTACCATCAATAATACTAGTAATGGATGGACATCCATTAGTGTGTGATATTTGACGAAGAAAGGATGAAATTACAAAATCTCATTTGTAGACTAGTTGGACGTCTTTGTCATCAAGGAGGTGGGTTGGCATCTGGGTGATCTGGCAACCAATTTTTACAATTGATGAACTTGTTTACGAAAATAATCCTTGATTTGTAATGCTAAAAGTCAATAATTGAAATATTACAATTTCTAATTCATGCTTAGATTTGAAATGCTGATCACACAAGACGGGACACCCTACTTCAAATGGTACATTTGATTACAGCTTTCACAAGAAAAAGATATTTTCGCGTGTTTGGTAATTAGTTGTTGATTATTGTTTGTTGTGTTTGTATTAGTCGATAGTCCGCAGGGACGGAGCTATCAACAAGGTGAGGGGGGCCTTGGCCCCTCCCAAGTATTTTATTTTTTAATAGTATTATTAGTATTATCTAAGTATTTCATATGTCCGTTTTAATCTTTTACGAGTAGTTAGTATTTATCTGCTTATTCCTATACCCTTTTTAATCTTTTAGTTCATGGAATTTATCTTCCAGTAATTTATTTACGTATTTTACTTGTGAATGGTTTTCAAGTTTTCCTTTTCATTTGTAATTTTTTAGTACTTGCTTGATAATTTAGTTGTTA